TGCCAGTTTTCACCTCCTGTGCACTGCCGAGGTGCCCTTGAGTAAGGCACCTAACCCCTAACTGCTCTCCGGGCGACCTAGGCTGCCCACTGCGCCTATGTATATAATAATGTATATAGGATGGGTCAAATGCAGAGGCAAAGTTTCATTTCATGTATGTAAAAGTGCTGTAAATGGTGTATACATATGCTGTGAATATGACAATAAAAGACTTTCTTTCTAGTGCTTGGACACACCTAGCATCAATGTAAACAAGGCCTTCTTTAGTGTCCTTAGACACTTTGTCACTACAAGATCCAGGAGTGTGGAGAGCAAGAGAAAAACAGTTTTACCTGTTTTTTATAATTGGCCAATGTGAATCAGCATGAATCAGCCTGTAAAAGAAACCTCACCCTTTAGTCCTGTTTCTCTTTAGCAGGAGGAAAGCTCCCAAATACATTGTTGAAAAATGTGAGATCTGATTGTTTAGGCAGCATTTGGAGTTGGTCAGGGATGCATTTGTCTACATATGTAGTGTTGTGTTACTACAAATATGATTCCTGGCTGCAGTGAAGCATTTACAGTCCTTGCCAATGTGCATATAGGCTTACAGATCCCATACACACCAGAGCAGAGAAGAGAACTCATTCAATATGCCTGTGAAGTGTGATCCATTTTAACTGGATGTAGCCCGTGTCTGGACACAGGATACTTGTTTTATTCCTACAGGAGCACTACCTGTGTTTGATTTGCCTGAAGGGGAAATCTTAACAGTTAAACATAAACATTTAAAGAGATATTTGAAAGACAATTGATTTGTTTTCCCTCTACTTACCTTACCTTTTCCTACATTTATTGGCCTGGTGGACTTAATTTCAATAAACCCCAACCATTTTAAATTGGCCTACGATTTCCAATGCAGAGATCTGATTTAATTGGACTTAACAGGACAGGGTGTCATGTCCTTCCACTTATGTAGGCTGTTAAAGTTTTGTTTGCTCTTTTTAGGCCCAGCAGGAGACCCAGAAGGCAGCTTTGAGCTATGAAAGAGCAGTTTCTATGCACACAGCTGCCAGGGAGATGGTCTATGTGGCAGAGCAGGGCCTGATGGCTGATGGGAAGAACACCCTGGATCCAACTTGGCAGGAGATGCTCAACCATGCTACCTCCAAGGTAACAAAACAAAACAAAACAAAACAAATAGTGTTAAATGATACCAGGCCTGGCTTCAGTGGATTAGTAGGATATATATGGTGGATAGTGACAAAGGAATAAAACAAGAATCTTAATCAGTGCTGGTCCAATACTTGTTTATTTGATCATTGTTACATGTACTTGATGAACGAGCAACAGTCTCGTTAAAGGAGTACTTCGTCGATGTAACATTGCACTCCTATAACACTGTCAGACTCAAAATGGACAGTTCAGATAAATGAAGTCGAACCATAGATGCTGTCTTCCACACGATCTTCTTCCTTCTCAAAACCTGCAGTCTACTTTACCCACAATGCAACTGGCTGTCAGTTCCGTTGGAGATTTGGGTGTGATTTCCTACATTAGCCTTTTTTGGCTGGATCGCAGCAAGCAGGCCACGCCCTACTAACGCGATAGTCCATGACTTACTGAGTGAAAGTTACACCATTGGTCCGTTCGAGTGTTGGAATTTCCTGTTCTTTCAAAATGAATAGGTGTGAACGAGCCTAGCTATTCATATAGCCAGGCTGAACACGCCAAATGCTTAACATAAAGCAGGCAGTGCTTCGCGGCACTTCCGCCTCCAAACAGCTCCTCGTGCGCACAGTTAAAGCACCCTATATGACAACCACCCTGAGAAAACACTCCATACAGAGTGAGTCATAGAAAAAGATAGAAACAAATGAACGAGCAGGGGGAGTTAAAATATAATTAGAATAGTTATAATTAGAATAAGACAAAGATAAAACATTGTAGGATAGATTGGGAAGCTTCCAACTGCATTTAGTCTCAAAGTTGGCTTACTATATCACGTAATCTGCTTCAGTACCCCTTAATAGCAAATATTACTGGGACCACTATAGAAAATGGCAGGTGAACACTCAATATCTAGGAATTGACACAGACACTACCACTGATCATACAGCGCCCAGCCATATACTAGGTTTTGACCTAGTCTTGTTCACATATGCAGTGGTTCTCCCCAAGACCTGTAAAAATGAGTTCCCCTTCAGTAGTTCAGCTTAGTCAATAATTGTATGAAGAGAGATTACATGCCTTGTACTTATTAACGCAGTGGCCTTTGTAATCACCCTGCCCCGCTGTGTCTCCCACAGGTGAATGAAGCCGAGGAGGAGCGACTCCGCAGTGAGAGGGAGCACATGCGTGTCACACACGCCTGTCAGGAGGCCGAGGCTCGGGTCCAGATGCTGCAAAAGTCTCTCAAAAGAGTTATTGTGAAATCCAAACCTTACTTTGAGCTCAAGGCCCAGTTCAACCACATACTGGAGGTAATCCACACATACAGAGCCAAGTAATACCTCTGTTTGTGAAACCTGAAGCACATACAAGATACTCTGTGCAGTGTACTTTATCCTCTCACTCCTAGTTTCTGATTTAGTTCTATTTGTGGAGTTGTAAATATGCTGCTGAGTTGGCAAAAAAAATTACTGTAATATATTCTGTATTTTATGGATTTACTGGAGGTCACTGGTAGGTTGTGACATAAAATCAATGTTGAAATGAATGATGAAAGTTGCTGTGCCCTCTGTGTGACTCCAGGAGAACAAGACCAAAGTGCTGCAGCTGGAAAAGCAAGTAGCCAAAGTCAAGACCCGCTATTCCATCGCCCTACGGAACTTGGAACAAATCAGCGAGCAGATCCACGCTCAGAGGGAGAGGGACCAGGCCGAGGGCGGATGCCCCACTGTCTGCGGTGGGCGGAGTCCCCCCGTTGGAGCGGAGTCTGACATCAGAGTTAAGAAAGAAGGCGGAGCCTGCAGTGGTGGCGCCATGGGGACAGATCGGGTGGATGCAGCCATAGACCTGGAGAAATACAAGGAGAAGGAGAATGAAAAGGAGAGGGAGCGGGCGGGGTCAGATTCCCTTTCTGTGTTCAGCCTGCAGACCATCGCTTCCGACTTGGAGAAATATGACTCCATTGAGCACCTCGGGGACCTCAGCGATGTTGGGAGCGTGACTGGGGATGAGGTGGAGAAAGAGAGAGGCGGGGTGATCGATAGAAGAGACAAGCTGACGGAAAAATCTGCCAAAGAGCGTCAGCAGCAGTTCTACAAGCAGCACCACCGAAGCTTCAGTTTGTGAGGCTGTCATAGGTGTGAACGCTGAAAGTAAAATGTGAGTTATCAAAAAAAAAAAAAAAAAACTTGGAAATTTGGATAAACATCCCTAAAAACATAGGTACCAACCAAAGTATATATTAGCTGCAAATGTGAAACTGCAGCGGTGCAGTTGTAGGTGTATGATACCCGGGTGTAAATAAGCACATGACTGACATTATTCTAAAGCTGACACTGATCAATAGTTAACATAGCCTAGATAGAACACTACTGAAATCTAAAGAGCTTTTCAACCCTCCAGAACAAGTAAACTGTATATTCACTCCCTGTGGGGGCTTCTGGGTAGAATTTGTTCCTTGAGCATGGTGGAGCAACGGTGAAGAAAGATCAAAAGCCCCGTTCAAACGGACGTATTTAGAAAGGCATCATTTCTTATTTTCCCAGGCTAATCGTTGATCTAATTTGGAGAGACTGGTGGAAACAAATCCCTCCATAGTTTCCCCCTCCAGTCGTGTCGAGTCTTATCAGCGATTGCTTCAAGGTAAGAGGGTGGCAGGGTCTCTCCATTACACACTGAGATCCACAATCATATCCGCCCTCATCAAGTTAGTTTGTAGGGGAAAAATGACAAAAACGGTTCTCTGTCAGCACAGAGTGAAAGCATGTTTGAATTCACATTTCATATTTATTTCCAACATGCTGCAAGTAGTGCTTTGCTACTTTTGGCACGAGAGAATGCGTTTCTTGAAAATTCCTGAAATGATGAACAGATTGAATGGAGTTTAACTCTTTCCACTCCGACAGCATGCACTCCTCGTTGGCTATTTAAACTGACATTTATGACATGTATTCAGGGCTATATGCTGAAACAAACACTGGCACCATTAAAGCTAAGATGATGACGCTCCGCCATGTTTTCTTTTTTCTTTGTTGTTATGCTGTAGTCTTATGATTCAAAAGCCTTTCCCAAACTTTTATTTTAATATTGTTTACATTTTTTCAAGTGGATTTATTTGGCAGCAAATGCATTTTCTCTTTTTTGTTTGCCTTTTTGAAAAAAAAAAGCCCTTGTTGTAATTTGAAGTGTGCCTTGACACAGAACAATTAACACATTTAGCATGAGTAGTACTTGTCGTAAACTCATCTGTAGTTCTGTTAAGAACCATTAAAAGTGTGTGCCCTTTTATGATTTTTAAAAACATTTTAATAACCTGCGTCATGCAGTTTCCGATGAGACTTGAAGAGTTTCGAATTTTTTTTTGTTTTCTGTATTTTCTTTTATGATGTTGTACTTTGATTGTCAAAGTGTATGATGCAAAACAATGAAGTCAAGAAATGACTTGTAAATGTATGTAATTATTACAAAGCTGGAAAATGTTGACATGTACAGTTACATGTGTTGCTGATTTGAATATTTGACAAGTTTGTTGTACAGATGTTCTGGATACTTACAGGTATGTATTTAAATCTTTATCGTTGCCGTTTATCTGAAACACCTAACCTTCACTTCCGTCTTATCAAATAGTCTTCACCCTTTTAATGGCATTTGTGAATTAGTCAAAATGTCAACTCACATGTATAATCAATAAACCAGATCATACCTCTTGGGCTTGTGTGATTCCCACATTTTCATATTTACGTGACGTCTTTTTGGACTTGATGAATTATTGTATGACAAGAGACAGGATAGGATGTGAATTCCTGTTCTACAGATACAGGAAGAGGTTATGTCTTCCCCAGACTTCCTTCAATTATTCAGCAGATGTATAAATATGAAGCAGGATGCTGATCTCAGAATAGATGGCAGAAGAGGAGCAGAGAATGGTGGGAAAGACAGAAGGGGAGATAGAGGAGTTGATGGGCTTTGATTTAATAGATGACCAGTGTTGTAGAAATGACTGACTGCTGCTCCGTTGACTTAACTCCAAAGGGCTTTAGAAAAAGGGCTTAACAAAGTAGTCACTGTTAATACCACAGCGCCATATCTGCACCTCCATCCGTGTCTAGTCCTCCCGCTGATATAATTATTCACGGTGGGATGAATCCGCAAGCTTATCATAAACCCAAATCCTCCTCGTAAGATTCATTATGATATTTTTTGCTTTTGTGGGCCTAGACCTTAGCGTGTTTCATCTTAGAGAGGAGGAGGAGGAGGAGGAAGGGGGGGATCAGATAAATGCGTGAGAGAGAGGGACTGTTACGCACGGTGCGTCTCCATCATGACGTCGTGAATTAGCTCAAGATCGTAGAGGGGGAGAGAGAAAAAAAAGGAGGGGAGTGTGGTGAATCGGTGTTTCGTCGTTTATGGGGTTGCGTTTGTATATAGTGCATGTATTATTTTTTTTTGTATGGGTTTTTGTCATTTCTTACCTTTGCCATGCGCAACTGCAATACGTGGAGAAAACCCGAATAAGATACGTTTTGTTTTTGTAACATTCTGTGTACGAACGGAGCAGCTTGCACATTTATAGCCATATCAATATAGCCATAAAGAATCGTTGCAAAGATGCACATTTCTACCAAATAATCCGACACTGGGCTTTCTCTGGCGGGTCCCATCCGGAGGACGCACTGTTATCTTGACTGAGCGCATCGAAACTAATAGTAAGTACACATGCTACAGCTTTGCTTCAGGGGGCTAGATGCTACTATTACTGTGGGTCGCAATATTAAGACTACATTTATTCAGAAACTGCTCCGTTTCCTCTCCCATGTAGATCATCTAGACAAAATGCCAAATTCGTTCCTCATTTTGTATGCAAAGGCCATACATTTTCGATGGTAACAGGCCAGATATGTTGTGAGTTCCCTCTTCCAAGAAAACCACCACCATCCTGTCTGCATTTACATATTGATGCGTTTATAAAAGAGAGGATAACAGGATGATATTTTACACCTCTTTGAAAACACCATGCAGCCGGTCTAGACAGATGTTATTCTAGACGCTACTTCTGAGTCCCATCCATGAGAGGACTGTACGGGCTTGTTAATATGGTCGGCCTTCCTCTACAGGCCATCACGGATTCCCTCGTCAACAGCCGACAAGTAACTACCGGCAGCATACGGTTGGTGGCACCCTTACTGTGACCCTCACGTCTCCATAGTTCATGCTCGGCCATGCACAAAATACAGCCTCTGAGTCTATGTGCTTGTGCCCCGTGTGGAGCTGCCCGGAGCTTTTTAAAATAGCCACTGCATGCTTTTTGAACGTTAGGTGTGAGCTGTCCTTTGGTGCAGGAATGAACCGGATCATCCCTTTTCCATTGCAGCTTCCGGCATTATTAACACACAAGGAAGTCGGCAGTGTCTGTGCATCAGTGACAGTAGAGGTGGGAGTGAAATGTGGAAGGGGCTGTAGGTGGGTTTTTCTGTAACAAGGCTGCAACGTTTTTTTTTTTAGCAGTGAAGGCGCTGTCCGTGGTGCTGAAGCCTTAATTGCATTTAAAGCTTGAGGCCAGTTGACGCCCCCCCTCCCTCTCCCCTGTCTGCTCAGTGCTACTGCAGCCACAGCGCTGATGGAGTTAGCTGGCTCTGTGCTGGTTAGACTGCCTCATCTGGGCTACACTCACTCACATAGTTTGCTTTCATCCGGCTCAGTGTGCGATCACTGATATTAATGACTCCTGCTGGGCTGTCCTTCTTTCTCCCCCTTTTCTCTCTCTACAGCCTCCCCTCCCTCCTTCCCACACAGGACAAAAGCACACACTGTACGCTGCCAACACACACACACACACACACACCTTCTCTCTCTGGTGGTGTCTACCTCCTGCATGCTTCTTGTCAGTGAACTCTAAAAATACACTGGATAATGCTAATGAAGTATCCAGCAGAGTTTGTCTGTCTTCCACAAGCAAGCCTTGGTGCCATCTGTCTCCCTCACTGTGGTGCTTAGCTTTGTTATGCCCCACCTGCCCTCCTCCCCACCAACCCACCCACCCACCCACTTCACCACACAC